ATCCTATCTACGCTTGCCTTGCCTTGACGAGGCCAAGACGGGACCCAAAGCCACCCGTTCTATGGCCCCTGTCGGCCAGGGGCTCTGGGCCGCCAAGATGGCTCTGGGCCCCCAAGATGGCTCTGGAATTGTTCCGATAGGCCCGAATACCGCCACAAGCTGGCCTGAGGAGGCTACGGAGCCTCCCAAGGATGCCCCCGCCAGTCCAAATTCCTTTTGAACGTATGGCTGCACTTTACGTTTACATCCTCAACTGATATTTTCCGGTTAGCTTTGAGGTCTCATGATTGCCACAAGACGGGCGTGTACAACCCCAAGAAAGACCCTGAGAGGGCCACAATGGCCCCCAAGACGACCCCTGGAGAGCCCCAAGAGCCCCAAGAGGGCCCACGAGGCGACTTTTCGGGTTCCGACGGAGGGGGCCATTGCGGCCTCCAGGATTGCCCCAAGACGGCCCCAACCACTTCCAGGAGAACCCCAAGACGCCCCTGGAAAGCCGCAAGGCTTACAACCGGCCCCAAGAGAACCCCATGATGGCTCAAAGAGATCTCCAAGAGTTCCCAGACTTCCTCAAATTGGTCAGTGCTTATTTTTCCACAGGCACAGGCCGGAAAATAATTTACCCAACTTTGTTTGCATATCTGTCTTGCTACATCAGCCGCTGTTGCAGCAGGGAGGCGATCGCACCACGATTTCCTCGAGCTGGTCAGTGTTGGGAGCTGCTCGGGCCGACCCGAGCTTTGGCTCCGCGACAGTCTCCTCTGTGCTTCACCTATGATCTCAGCAGAAGCGGGCCCTCAGCACTGCACACGCCATCACTATGGGATCTCAGTTCGAAAGGGGTTGGCGCACTGGGCAAAGGAGAAAATGGAGCACCTCGCTTGCCCAGCTGCCCTGTTCCCCCCTCGGCACGCGGCTGTAATTATGTTGGTGGGCGGTAGTGTCTCCATTACATGATTTCGTCTCCAGGGTCCTGACATCCGTGGAGCACGAAATTCGGGCTGGCATCAAAATGAGGAATCATAACCCGAAGGGCCAGAAAGTGTTCAGATGTGCTGTCCTCTAGCCCTCAGCACTGGAGGTGGAAGCAGCCGCTACGTTTCATCAGCATGCTGGGGAGGCAAGTAGCGCTGGAATTGGCAGACCCCACGCAACGAGTGAGGTAAGAACAGACTGACTGGACATGCACATATATGCCACTGCCGACCTCAACACGGCTGCTGGGCTGAGTGAAAGGATGCCAGTGGGTTGAGGCTGTCGCCTCATGCACTGATGTTACAACTACTCTCGTGCGAAGTCCCTCATGCACCATCCCATGCCAAGGACGAAGCACCCTCCATGTGCAGAAACAAAAACGCCTGTCTTCTGCCAACAGACTCAGATAACAAATGTGCGGGCCACACTAGACCAAGAATATACGAAAAGATTACGTGTCCTCGGGATTGCCGCTTCCCACGAGGATGAACTTCGCTGGGTGACGCACGCTGATACCCTGCCGCTTCAACCCACTCACTCTCATACTGTGCAAGAATGAATGCAGAAACTGAGGATACATGCGAGGACGCGCCTCCTCCTCTCTTCCGCATCCTCCTCCGCCTCCTCCTCTCCTCCTCAGCAGCAGCAGCACTGCCGTCATCAGATTCCACATCACCATCACCAGCATCAGCAGCCATCGCCCGTTGCCATTCTAGCCCAGGACATGTGCTAGGCTCCAGCATGTGATTGCGCACACTTAGGAAATCGCGTACGGGGGGCCGACCGATGCGGGCAGGCCAGGGCGGGCGCCTTGCGCACGGCGGCGCGCCCGGAAGTGGGCAGAATGGAGCCGCCAGAGGCTGGCGTGGCGGCAACGGCGGCCGCTGAAGGAGGCCACGCGGGTGCGCTGGCCCCTGGAGGGAGCGCCACTCCGAGGAAGTGAGGCGGCGCCTGGCGCTGGTGGCGCCTGCCCTCGAGGCGGTGGTCCAGCGGAGCCGGCCGAGCGGAGGCGCGATCCTGCGCAGGAGCGTCGCCTGCCACGCGCGGCGCCTGTCAGGCGCGCGCTCCGCGGACACGGCATGGCGGCAGGCGAAGCACCGGCCCCGCTTGGGCAGCACTGGGCACGAGAACGGGCCGCTGGACCAGGAGCGGGCGGAGCGGGCGGAGCGGGCGGCCGACGCGGAGACCTGTGGGCCGCGACGGAGCGCTTCCTCGCCAGCCGCGCCAAAGAAGAGGCCGACGCGCCCACGGCGGCCGAGGGCCGGGCACGCCGGCCAGAAGGGGCATTAGCCCTCCGCCGATGCGCGTCGGCCGAAACCGCAGTGCTGGCCGAGCGCCCGGCCGAGCGCGCGGATTACTCCCAGCGTGCGGGCGGACCCGCCGAGCTGGGGAGGTGGCGGATTACTCCCAGCGAAGAGCACGGGGAGGACTTCCGAGGCGCAGCGCGACGGGCACAGAGTAGCACGACCTCGAGGCGCAGGCGGGCTTCGCGCCCGAGGCGCCGCGAGGCGCGGGCCAGCAGCACGACCCGGAGGCGCAGCGGCACGACTACGAGCGGCTCTGGGGGGCGGCTGAGGCGGCAGGAGGAGCTGGCAAAGGGCCGAAGCCAGGGCCAGGGGGAGCGGGGCGGGGGGCGTGCGGCTTTCGAGCGGAGCCCTCGGAAGTGGGTGGCAGGTTGGCCCAAGCAAGGTGGCGCTGACGCGGAGCACGTACCTGGGCAGCCGCGGCGTGACGCGGTGGAGGTGCTCCCGCGCGCGTCCCTCCCTCCCTCGCGAGGGCCTTCGCACGCGCCCGACGCGCGTCGATGATCCGCCGCGGTGCACCCTGGCACGCTGAGACGTGGTAGAATGCCAAGTGCTGCCTGGCAAGGGCCCCCCCCATAACTAGCACACTGGTGCGTGCATCGCCCCCAATCCCGATGCCACGATCCCTCGGAAAATTAGCCTGGGAAGGACCCAACCATATGCAGTTGTGATTGCCGCTGTTGTGAATGACGCCTTTGGTGGAGCCCCCTCTGGGGACACGAAACGTGTGAGGGGTGTAGCGAAATCAAGGGTGAAACCGCATGCGGGCGCTGCCACTGAGGCCTTCGGTGGAGCTATCCATTGGGCCACGAAACGTGTGAGGGGTGTGCCGAAGTGGGGGTGGAACCGCATGCGGACTCTGCCACTGGGGCCTTCGGTTGAGCTCCATATGGGGCCACGAAACGTGAGAGGTGTGTGCCGAAGTGGGGCGGCACCGCCATGCGGACCCTGCCATTGAGGCCTTCGGTGGCGCCGCCGCAGGCCACGAAACATGCGAGGGGTGCACCAAATTGTGGGGTGGAACCGCATGCGTGCGCTGCCACTGGGGCCTCCAGGTGGAGCAACCTCTGGGGCCACGAGACGCATGTGGGGTGTGCCGAAATGGAGGGAGGAACCGCATGTGAGCGCTGCCACTGGAGCCTTCGGTGGAGCTTCCCATTGGGCCACGAAACGTGTGAAGGGTGTGCCGAAGTGGGGGTGGAACCGCATACAAACCCTGCCACTGATTCGAACGGCTTGCCTCGCCGTGCGTCTCACAAAGGCTTCCGGTGGAGCTCCCTATGAGGCCACGAAACATGTAAGGAGTCCGCCGAAATGGAAGGTGGAACGGAACCGCATGCGGGCGATGCCACTGGGGCCTTCGGTGAAGCTTCCTGTGGGGCCATAAAACGTGTGAGGGGTGTGCCGAAATCAAGGTGGAACCACAGGTGGGCGCTGCCACTGGGGCCTCAGGTGAAGCTCCCTGTGGGGCCACGAAACGTGCTAGGAGTTCGCCGACTTGGAGGGCGGAACTGCATGCGGGCACTGCCGGTAGAGACTTCAGTCGAACTCCCTATGGGGCCACGAATCATGTGAGGGTTGCACCGGAATGGAGGGTGGAACCGCATGCGGGCGCTGCCAATGGGGCCCACGATGGAGATCCCTGTAGGGCCCCGAGACGTGTGAGATGTGCACGGAAATGGACAGCGGAACCGCATGCGAGCGCTGCCACTGGGGCCCTCTGTGGAGCTTCGTATGGGACCACGAAACGTGTGAGGGGTGCGCCGAAATCGAGGGCAGAACCGCATGCGGGCGCTGCCACTGGGGCCTCCAGGTGGAGCACCCCATGGGGCCACGAAACGTGTGAGGGGTGTGCCAAAATTGAAGGTGGAACCGCTGCGCGGGCGCTACCACTGGGGCCTTCAGTGGAAGTCCCTATGGGGCCACGAAGCGTATGAGGGGTGCGCAGAAACGGAGGGTGAAACCGCATGCGGGCACTGCCACTGCGGCCTTCGGTGGAACTCCCTCTGGGGCCACGAAACGTGTGACGGGTGCACCGACATGTCCGGTCGCTGCCACTGGGGCCCTCTGTGGACCTCCCTATGGGGCCACGAAACGAGCAGCGGTTTCGCTGAAACGGGTGTCGCGGACTGCGCAACTGGGGCCGTCGGTGCCCTCTGAAGCCACGAACAAACGCGTGAAGGATGTGCCGAAATTGGTGGCGATGATGGTGATGATGACGGCGATGATGATGGCGATGATGATGAAGATGATGATGATGATGCTGCTGATGATGATGGTGATGATGTTCATGATGATGATGATGATGATGATGATGATGATGATGATGATGATGATGATGATGACGATGATGGGGGAGGGAGGAAACGGAGGGGAGGGGAAGGAGGAGGAGAAGGACGGTGAGGAGGAGGAGGAGGAAGAGGAAAAGGAGAAGGAGAGGAGGAAGAGGAAAAGGAGAAGGAGAGGAGGAGGAGGAAAAGGAGGAGGAGGAGGAGGAGGAGGAGAGGAGGAGGAGGAGGAGGAGGAGGAGGAGGAGGAGGAGGAGGAGGAGGAGAGGAACGCGGAGCGCTCTCTCTTCAAAACGAAGACCCACACCACAGGATACTCCGGCTTCCCGAAGCCACGATCCCTCGTAGACAACAGTGCGTCCGCGTCCCGAGCCTCCAAGACGGCCCAGCCCGGCAACCACGGCAACCATGATGGCCAAAGATGCCTCGAAGACGGCACATGATGGCCCCAAGGCGGCCCCAGTATGGACTCAGGGCAGCCCAAGATGCCTCCAAGAGGGCCCAAAGGGCCACAAGAGGACCTCCCCCCAACAGGGTGTGAAGACAACAGAAACACAGCTTTCCGTAAGGTGTTTGATGTGTGTTCGCATCATCGGTTTCCCGTGCTTTCGTCGACCCAAAACGGCCCAAGAAGCCTCCAAGATGGCCCCAAGACGGCACAAGAGGCCTGCACGGGGGCCCCAAGAAGGCGCAATAGGACCCCATGATGGCCCGAGCGGCATCTGAGACGGCCCAAGAAGGCCTTCAGAAGTACCCAAGACGACCTCGAAGGCCTTTCGGCCGTCCAAGACGGCACCAAGATGACCCCCAGACACCCCCACACGGCCAAGAGGGCCCCACAACAGCCCAAGAGAGTCTCAAGACGCAGTCCAAAGACGCCCAAAATGAGCTTCCATGAGAGCTCTTCAAAAAGTGCACAAACGCAGCGCGCGCCCTGTAGCGACCGCCCCTGCGAGGCTGCCAGCACCCCATCGTTGGGCGCGGCGCCCCCAGGGGGCGGCCCGCGCCCGCGGGCCCGCGCAGTCGCCGCCCACGGCGCGGCGCCCACCCCTTGGCAGGGTCACCCGGGTGCCGACCACCCCCAAGGGCGGTTGAGGGTGGGCGAAAGTCCCTAAACCCTAGCTGCCAGCGCCGATGGCTCAGCATGGAACGAGAACCTGCGCGACGCGCACGCCGCGCGCGAAACCGAGCCGCCGCGACGCGGAATCCCAGCGGCGGCGCAAACGCGCACAAAGCAACAGCACCGGCAGCGCCACAAAGCGCGGCGCGCGGCCTCCCCCTTCGCAGGCCGCCCAATATCGCGGCGTCGCGCTCGCTGGCGGACGCGGCCGCCGACGCCCCCGCGCCCCGCTCGCCGTCACGCCTGCGCCCGCGAAGCAAAAGAGCGCGTGGGCCTGGCACAACCGCAGCGCCCGCCCTGTAGCGACCGCCCCTGCGAGGCTGCCAGCGCCCCATCGCTGGGCGCGGCGCCCCCAGGGGGCGGCCCGCGCCCGCGGGCCCGCGCAATCGCCGGCCACGGCGCGGCGCCCACCCCCTGGCAAGGCTACCTGGGCGCCGACCACCCCAAAGCCGACGGCAACCAGGGAACCGCCAGGGGAGGAGGCGCGAAACCCAATGCCGAGCCAGCCACCGCCGGCGCGCGAACACCCCTGACGCAAGAGCTATTCCGGCACGCGCGCAGATGCTTGGCCTACCTGCAGCGCCACCAGCACGGCGTCGCCCTCGAGCTCTTCTCGACCCACGCAATCGAGAAACGCGCCCGAGCGCCAGCAGCCCGCGCGGGGGATCTCAGCGAGCCCACCACCGCCGCGGCGCGAGGTGTCTCCGCGCGGCCACGCCAAGAAGACCCAGCGCAATAATGCGAAGAGTCGCGATCGCTGGCCTCCTGGGCGAGCCGCCGCACCAAGCCGGGCACGCACCCGCTCACCAGGTGCGCAAACGGCACGGCGCCCACCTGCGCGCGGTCGAAGACGGCGCCGAGGGCGCGCGCGGGCCAAGTGGCTCTGCACGCCGCGAACCAACAGCTGCGAACAATGCGCGAGGGATGGTCGACGCGCTCGCGCCCGCTCAAATGCAGGGCGGCCCGTCCGCCGGCTAAGAACAGACGAGCGCGCGCGCCTTGCGCGCGCGACAATCCTCGTCAGACCAGGAGAAGGACGCGGCCACGCGGGGGTCTCCCTTTTCGACTCCGAGGCCCACTGGCGGCACTCTAAGAACGAACGCGAGAGCCGCGACGAAAAGACGCCCGGCGGCCTCGTCGGGGGCGCGCCCGAACACGTCGACTAAGAGCCGATGGTCGATCGCGGGCTTCGGCGCCGGCTCGTCGCGCAGGCGCTCAAGCGCGGCGGCGCGCGCGCCACTCGCCCCCGCGCCGTCGAAAGCACTGTAGTCACGGCGCAATAGCCTGCAGGCCTTGAGGACCCGCGCCTCGCAATTGCCAAACCTTTTGCGGCCGTGAAAATGCGCGGCCCACCGCGCGAGCTCAGGCGGGGGGGGCGGCAGCACGTCGTCGTCGCGCTCGCCGAGAACCCCGCCGGCGAACGGAAAACTAATTGCGCGGGGCGCTGGGCCACGCGCAGAAGGATGCCGGAGCCCCGCCCGCGAGGGCCGTCGCACGCGCGGCCTCCAGACGCGCGGCCCGTAGCGCCTCCGGAAGGCGGCCGCGCCTCGGCCGCTGCCCGCTCGCTCGCCGCCGGCACAGCCCGCGAGCGGCTGGCGCGCTCGCGCTCAGAGTGCACGGCGGCGGGGCAAGCGCGGGCTAGCGCCGCGCGCTGCGATGGCCTCGCACGCGGTGCGGACTCAGAGGAGGAATCCGAGCTCGACGAAACAGACTCAGTGTCTGGGCGCCTCGCGGGAGGAAGAGCCAGGGGCGCGGGCTGACGCGGTCGCGCAACAGCAGAATCCTGGACCGCCCCAGCCGCCGCGCCCCTCGGCGGCGTGCCGGGCGGAGGGCCCGCCACGGCCATCCGCGCAAGGGCCCGCGCCGCCTCGCCTGATACATCCGCGCAAGCGCGGCGCGGCCGCGCGGGCGCAATGGAAGCGCGCGCGAAAGAGGCGCCTCGAGGCCGCTCAACGCCCGAACGGGCGGCATCGCCCCGACGCTGGATGCACAGAAAACGTCGTTTTGTCGCATGCACGCCGCGACCTCCTCCGCGGCCGCGGCCGCGCCCCCGCGGCACCATTGCGCGACCTCGCCAAGCAAGCACGGAGGGCGCGCGGCGCCTTAAACTCGCGCGGGGCGCTCTGACCGCGGAGATGCTTCGGGCGCGCGGACCCCGCCGCTCGCCCGCTCCGCGCGGAAAGGGCCGCGCCGATAGTCGATCCCACGACGGCGCCCGCGCCGCGCGCGCCCGCGGCCCGCTACGCGAGCTGCCCTGGCAGCTGGGGCCGCTGGAACTGCGGCCGCAGCGCTGGCCAGCGCCACGCGGCCCCCAAATCGTCGAGTAACCGATGCTCCTCGCGACTGAGCAGATCGGGAATTTCATCGTCTACACGCACGCGCGGAGCGCGCGCGTCCTCGGCAGGGCGCGGCGGCGCGGGCAAGCACCCGCTGCGACTCTGCCCACCAGCGCCGACACATGCATCGCGCACGCGGTCGCCCAGAACGCGCGCACGATCACGCAGTGATCTGGCGCGGCGGCCGAGCCGCGTCGGAAGGCGCACTCAGCGACCGCGTTGCCACTGTAGACGCGGACGTCGCGGCCGCGGACCCTGTCGCCCCACGTGCGCAATGCCAGCCCAACGGCGAGCATTTCCAGCCCGATTGACTGAGCACCCCGCCGCTCTCGGAATTGCACTGCGCGCGATGGCAGGCGACGCACCAGGGGCGCGGGCGCGCGAAGCGGGTGAATTTCGAGGGGCCCACGGCGAACTGCCTGAGCCGCCCAGCAGACACGACGCCCCTATACTGAAAAGGGGCACAGCCGCAATAGAAACGCCAGCGGCTCCCACGCCGCATACTCGACGCGCCCGTCGGCGCAAACAACGGCGGCGAGATTCGGCGGCGCGACCCGCGCGCCCGCAAGAATGACGACCAGTGGTCGCTCATCGCCGCCAGCCCCAAGCCCTGGTTTCCACGGCGCCATGGGCCCAGACTTCCGCCCACCAGCGCAGGCAGCTCATCGCGTCGGCGGGCAGCTTTGCCGAGCAGCCGAGCGCGCGCGAACGACGGCCGCGGCGTCGCGCACCCCATTTGGCGGAAGCGATGCGACGCACCCCAGGAGAGAGCGCCGGCCAACGTTGACGCCGCCTCAGCGGCCAGCACCTTCGCTGCCAGGGCGGCGCGAAACCGCTCGAGCCACCTCGCGCGCCCGCCCGCGGATGGGCGAGCGCGGAAGCCCCAGCGATCAACCGGGCAGCGCGGGCCAGGGCGCGCGCGCCCGACGCGAGCGCGCGCGCCCTGGGCGGGCGCCGCGATCTGCAGGCCCAGGAAAACAAGGGGGCGCTCGCACGCTGTCTCGCGGTCCGCAATCGCCGCGCCACCGAGCAGAGCGCGGACCACGCGCGCAATGAATTGCCGCGCGCGGGCACGCCGACGCCGCGCGGCCAACGTCGCGCGCGAGGGCGCGGGCGGCACCAGCGACGCCAAAGCGAACTGCAAGAAACGCAAGTTGGCGTCATCACCAGAGCCAGCACGGGCCCGGTTGGCCCAGCCGCGGGCGTCGCCCTCGCCAGCGCGGGCGCGTTTAAAGAAACACGTCGTCACAGAACTCTGCGCTGCACGAGGCATTGAGGCGTCGCGCCAGCCTGGCGGCGCGAGTCGGACGCTGGCACCGCTCGCGCGCGGAATGCGAATGTTCGACGCAAAGACGCAAACACGCCCGCGCTAGGTCCCGGCGGGCTCGCCCAGGCGAGCGAGAAGACGTCGCCCCTCGCGACCGAATCGACGCAGCGGTCGCGCTCAGGCAACGAGCCCTGCGCGGCCGCGCGCGCAAGCGTCGCGGGAAATTCACGGGCGATCGGGCGGCAGCGCCTGCAGTGCCGCGCCATTCCCACTCGGCGCCCGCGCGCCCACTCTCCGCCGGGAGCTTCCCCCGCGACTTCTCGCCGCGGACCCCGGCGCTGCCCGCGGCGCCCCATGCGCCGCCCACGCTCATGGGCCGCCGAGGGGGCGCACCGCCGCCGCCCATCGGAGGCCTGCTCGCGGGCTCGGCCACGGCGTCGGCGCGCGCGGCGAAGAATCGCGCGGGCGCGTCGCCGCGGGCGAGCCTCTAAGCAAGATCGCGCGACAGATCGGCCCCCAGCAGCAGCTCGGGGCAGAGCCTCAGCGCCGCCACGCCCGTCGGGCGCAGGCAATGAGCGGCGCGCCCACCCCCCGCGCGCGCGGGAAAAGCGCGCGCCGCGAAGTCCACCGCGCCCGCGCTTGCCTCTCCGGCCCAATCCTCGCGGCAGCCCTCGTCACAGAGCATGCCGGAGTGGGCCCCGCGGCCGCCCGGGCGCGCGTCCACGCCCACCTGCGCAGACGAGGCGGCGCGCGACAGCGGGGCGCCGATGGCGCGCGCGGGGGCGCCCCCATGCAGACTTGCCCCCAGCCCGCGGCGGGCGCGCGCGCCAGCTGGCCCGCCGCGGCTGCGCCAATCGCGCAACTCGCAGGATGCCGAAAGGCAACATCGCGAGGCTCACCGCGCTGGGCGCGCGCGGGGCATCGCAGGCCAAGCGCCATTCGCCCCGCGCAAGCGCGTTGGCGCCGGCAGCAGAGGGCACGCCCAACGGCGACCAATCGCGCAGGTCCGCGCGCGCGATCGGACCGGCCAGCCCCATCCACTCCAGCTTCGCGACCTCGCCCGCCAGGGCGTCGACTCGCGCGCACCCGACACCGCCGCGCAGACGGCGCGCCCGATCCCACGCCGCGCGCGCGCCCGGCCTGGGCCACAGGGTCGCAGGGGGCCCCTGGAGATCCATCTCCTCCAGGCGCTGCGCGACGTCAACGCGCACCGCGGGCGCCTCCTCTACACGCGAGTCGCGAGAGCGCCGACGGCGTCGCCATGGGAGCCGCCTTCAGCTCCGCCCGCGCTCGCCGCAGGGGCGCCGGGAGCGAAGAGCTCCTCGATGGCCCGCGCGCAAATTTACCCGCGGGAGGCGCCGGCCGCGGAGGAGTCGCCGCTGCCTCGACCGCAATTCATAACGCGCGGCGAATTCGCAAGCGCTCGCGGAGCCCAGACCTGCGTTGCCCGAGCGCGGGATCTCACCGACGCGGCGGCGCGCGGAAGCCCAAGCGCCTCTGCTCCGTCAAGGGCCGCCAGCAGATCGGTCGAATGCTTTCGCATCGCGACACCCTGGCGGCGCCGGCGCCTCATCATCCTAGAAAGCGCAAATCTCCGCCGCCACGCTTACGCGTCGCGAGCCTGGAAGGTTGAGGCGCCGGGCAAAACTGGCGGCGCTCCGTGCTCGCGAGGAAACGGGCGATTCGCGAAGCGCCCGCCATGCACGAGCGGGCGCGAACGAACGCAAGGGCAAGCGCAGAAGCAGTGCGTCCGCAGATCCCGTCGGCCGCCACGATGGCGACGATGGCGCAGCTGCCCGGATCCCAGTCGGCCGCTGCGGGAACACGGTTGCCCACGGGCCCAGACGGCCAGCAGGCGCGAGTGAATGCAACGGGCCCAGCCAGCCCAGGGGATGGCACCGTTGCCAGTGGGCCCGCGCTGGCCAGCGGGCGCGCTAAGAAGCCCGTTACGACGGCGCCCGTGCCAGCGGGGCCCAGCTAGCCCAGGACGCGGCACAGTTGCCAGCGGGCCCCAGTTGGCCAGCGGGCGCCGAGTAGCCCACTGGGATGCGCAATTTCCGATGGGGCCCAGCCAGGGCAGGAAGTAGCGCAGCTGCAAGTGGACCCCAGTTGGCCAGCGGGCTCTCATTAGCCTTCAGCGAGGTGGCACTGTTGCCAGTGGGCCCTAGTTTGCCAGCGGGCACCAATTAGCCCTTCGCGGAAGCACAGTTGCTAGTGGGCCCCAATTGGCCATCGGGCACGAATTGTTCAGTTGCGAAGTAGCGCTGTGACCAGTGGGCCGCAATCGGCCAAAGGTTTACACGCCGCTGACAATTGCCCATGGGCCCAGTAAGCCCAAGAGACGGTAGCACAGATGGCAGTGTGCCCCAGTTGGCCAGCGGGCACTAATTGGCCCCTTGCGAAACGGCACAGTTGCCAGGAGGCCCCAGTTGGCCAGCGGGCACTCGTTGGCCCTCTGCGGACTGGCACAATTGCCGAAGTGGCCAGCGGGCACCACTTAGCCCTTTGCGAGGTGGCACAGTTGCCAGTAGGCCCCAGTTTTGGTCAACGGGCTTTCAAAGTAGCCCTTTGCGAAATAGCACAAGTGCCTTGACCAAGGACTCGCGCGCGAGCGGGGCCCACGCAGCCCGAAAGTTGCGCCCGCGCCGCTGCTCGCCGAAGCACGCGTGGGCGGCGAGCCCGCCAACCTGCACGAAGCCCGCCGCCGCGCCAGAGCGCCGGGCACCAATGTGACCCGACGTCTCTGTCGCGGACGGACCTAGCATGCGCGCCAACACTTGGCGCATGGGATGGATCCTGACTTTTGCGACGGGAGAAGAGGGGGGGCGGATCGTGCGAATGCGCGCGCGAGAAGGAAAATCCGTGTCGTCGTGAACCAAGAAGCCGACGCGCACGGACCTTAGAGCAGAGGGAAAAGGGACGGAACCTGCTGCGGGAGGAGAGGGCGGAGCGACCGACCGACGCGCGCGCGCGCGAGGAACGAGAATCCTGAACCCCCAGCTGCCAGCGCCGATGCATGGCAGCCAGGAATAAGAACCTGCGCGACGCGCGCGACGCGCGCGCCAATCCGAGCCGCCGCGACGCGGGATCCCAGCGGCGGCGCGAACGTGTACAAAGTAACAGCGCTGGCAGCGCCGCGCGGAGCGGCGCGCGGCCTCCCCCCTTCGCAGGCCGCTCCTTCGCGGCGTCGCGATCGCTGGCGGACATGGCCACCGACACCCCTGACGAAAGGTGTCACATGTGACGGCCTTCCTCTCCCTCCTCCTCCTCCTCGTCCTCCTCATCAGCAGCAGTATGGGCATCAGCATCTGCACCTGCATCTGCACCTGCATCATCATCAGCATCATCAGCAGCAGCATCATCATCATCATCAGCATCATCATCAGCAGCAGCATCATCATTATCATCATCACCATCATCATCCTCATCATCAGCAGCATCAGCATAAGCATCATCAGCATCACCATCATCGTCGTCAGCATCATCATCATCACTATCATCATCGTCGTCATCATCAGCATCATCATCATCATCCTCATCATCATCATCATCATCATCATCAGCATCATCAACATCATCATCATCATCACCACCACCACCACCACCACCATCATCATCATCATCACCACCACCGTCATCATCCTCATCATCACCAGCAGCATCAGCATAAGCATCATCAGCATCATCATCGTCGTCGTCAGCATCATCACCATCATCATCGTCATCATCATCATCATCACAATCAACATCATCACAATCATCATCATCGGCAGCGTCATCAGCTCATCAACATCATCATCATCATCATCATCATCATCATCATCATCATCATCATCATCATCATCACCATGCTCATCATCACCACAATCAGCATCATCATCATCATCATCATCATCATCATCATCATCATCATCATCATCAGTAGCAGCATCATCATAAGTATCATTTCCATCATCATCCTCATCATCATCATCAGCATCATCATGATCAGCAGCAGCATCGTCATCAGCAGCAGCAGCCTCATCCTCCTCATCCTCCTCATGATTAGCATCATCACCAGCATCACCACCATCGTCATCAGCATCATCATCATCGGCAGCAGCAGCAGCAACAATATCAGCATCAGTATGATTATCACCATCAGCATCCTCATCATCAGTATCAGCATCAGCGTCATCATCATCATCAGCATCATCATCATGATCATGCTCATGATCGGCATCATCATCCTCATCATCATCACCAGCATCATCATTATGATCATCAGCAGCAGCATCATCAGCATCATCACCACCTCAGCAGCATCATCAGCATCATCAGCATCATCGTGCTCATGATCAGCATCATCATAATCCTCGTCATACTTATCAAATTCAGCATCATCCTCATCGCGACTACCCGAGCCTGGGGTCACGAGGTGTCGCACATGACGGCCTCCCGCGCCCCCTCGAACGGCAGCCATCCAGAGCGCTGGAAACGACGGCGGGACATACCGCGGGCAGCTGGATAATGATCATTAGCAGCAGAAGTCCCACCGCTACCACCGCCGTAACCATCAGCAACAGCGCATCATCAGCAGCAGCATAGGCATTCCCGCAACCACCATCATCATGATCATCCTCAGCATCAGCATCATCGTCGTCATCATCAGCAGCAGCATCATCGTCATCCTCCTCCGCATCATCATCATCATCATCATCATCATCATCATCATCATCATCATCATCATCATCATCATCATCATCATCATCATCATCATCATCATTAGCAGTAGCAGTACCATCGTCTTCGGCATCATTATCAGCAGCAGCAGCGTCATTAGCATCAGCATCAGCAGCATCCTCAGCATAGGCGTCAGCATCAGCATCAGCATCAGCAGGATCATCAGCAGCATTAGCAGTATCACCATCAGAACACCCAGAATCATCAGCATCATCATCACCAGCAGCATCATCATCAGCAGCAGCAGCACCGGCACCATCATCAGCAGCGGCAGTCCCTTTATTATCAGCACCAACATCAGCATCATACTCATCATCACCATCACCATCACCATCACCATCATCATCATCATCATCATCAGCATCATCATCATCATCATCATCATCATCACCATCATCATCATCATCATCATCATCATCATCATCATCATCATTGTCATCATCAGCCTCATTGCCATCATCAGCAGCAGCATCAGCATCCTCAGCATCATAATCAGCATCATCAGCAGCATCAGCATCAGCACCATCATCAGCATCATCATAATATTAATCATCATCGGCATCGTCATCACCATCATCAGCATCACCACCACAAGCATAATCAGTAGCATCAGATTCATCATCATAATCGTAATCAGTTTCAACATCATCATCGTCAGCAGCAGCATCAGCAGCATCATCATCAACATCGTCCCAGCATCCTCATCATCAGCGGCAGCAGCATCCTTCTCCTCACCCCCATCCTCACCATCATCGTCGTCATCGGCATAATCAGCATCATCAGCATCAACATCCCGACTATCGTCTCACCCTGGTCCGTCTTTACCCTCGCCGCGTCCCTCGTCCGCTAACGTGTGGAAACTCCGCCTCGCCGAGACAGTCATAATTGACTCGGGCGTTTCGCCCGAGACAGCTTTGGCTCAGACTGGTTCAGAGAAGAACCCAATAATGCAATAGGGGTGGATAGAACCGTCTATCTCAGAGAATGATCATAGCACTGCGACAGGGATGTACAAAAGCGTAGACTGACAACCATAGCGCGAGGCAGAAGGTATACCAAGCCACAGGATGGCCCAAACGATGCGAAGAGACGAAATGATCCAGAATGGCTCAGGGGCGCACCCAAATCACTCGCAACGTTTGGCAGCGTCTGCGGTCAAGAGGGTCCGCTTGAAATTGTACAGAGCGCTCTTCCGCTCGACACATCATGGACATCGGAAGGTTGCGGCTGCTGCACGCTCGGCAACGACCAGGGAAGCGAGGTCTGCATGGGCCTACGTGAAATTGCACTGCGCAGACCCCCCAGAAGCACAAGAAAATTGCGACTCCATCCTCTCCATCGACTTCCGTTGCGCTATCCTCGCCCTCCCCGCCCTCCTCGTCATCCGTATCCTCCTCCGCATCCACGTCCCCGTCCCATGCTCATCCTCCTCATGCTTATCATCATCCGCCGCCTCCGCCTCCTCCTCCTCCTCCGCCTCCTCCTCCTCCTCCTCTAGCTCCTACTCCTCCTCATCCTCATCCTCCTCATACTCTTCCTCTAGCTCCTCCTCCTCCTCCTCCTCCTCCTCCTCCTCCTGATCATCATCAGCATCAGCATCAGCATCAGCATCATCAGCATCATCATCATTATCATCATCATCATCAGCAGCAGCATCATCATCATCATCAGCATCATTATCATCCTCCTCCTCCTCCTCCTCCTCCTCCTCCTCATCATCATCATCATCATCACCATCATCAGCATCATCATCATCATCATCATCATCCACCGCTCCCTCCCTTCCCATCTCATCGCTAACTAAGAATGCCTAGCTGCGCTCACGTCTTACAACGGCCCAAGGTGGCGACGTGAAAGACCCGTGGGCACAACGACCAGGAACGAAGAGAGTGGAGCTGGGCCCCCTGGACACAAAATTCAACCAAGAAGAGCTAGAGACAAGAGGTGGAGGAGGACAAGCGGGACAGCTGGCAGCAGCTAGCACCACGTACCGCATGCTGCGACTTGCTCGACATCCTGGATCACTCATCTGAGTTCCAACGTGACTTGGTGGCACGAATCGTCATGCGCAACAGCGCTGCGCTAAAGCCTAAAATCCGCCGATTCCTATTTGCCAGGGTGACGAAGCGCGTGAGATGCTCAGCTGTTCGTCTCGCCCCCTTCCCCCTCTTGAGGGTGGGAGGCACGAGCTCCTTAACACACTCCCTGAGCTTAATGGGCTCCAAAAATTGTCCCTCAGACCGCAAAGACCCTTTTGATGGCCAGAAAAGTGTCCACTGTGGTCCAAGATCATATATGTTAGCCTCCCCAACCTCCACGATGCGACCAATTGGGTTTCATGCTATGGCTTCCCGCTCCACCCCACCCACACCCACTGACCCTGGTCGTCGCACTTTCTGGTCGTCGCTCAGGTTCCTGTAGGTCAGATTGGTTCCTCTAGGTCCCTACAGCTTCCTTCGCCCCAACCACACTGGCCTTGGTTGCCGCGCTTTTTAGTGGCCTCTTAGATTCATAAGGGCTCCTGTTGATTCCTATGGTTTCCCCAATCCTCACTGGCCCTTGGGTTGTCGAACCTTCTGGTGGCCAGTTTCATTCCCCCTCACCGGTTCTGATTGTGGAGCTTCCCAATCTCCGGTAGTCTCTGGGGGCCTGGATTCCTACGGCTTTCCCCCACACACCACCTGCTCATGTCGCCGCCCTGTATCGTGGCCGATTGGATTTCTACGGGTTCCTACTACTATGGTTATACGCACATGGGGCTCCGCACAAGCAATGATCCACATGCAAGCACACTCAGGGTTCAACCCACAGGGGTCCCACGTATAGGCTTTCACAAAAAGGAGTCATCACATAGGGTCCCACGCACATTGTTACACGAATATACCGTTTGGGGCCCCATGCGCTGGCATCAAAATTTGATGATTTTGGTGGTTTGGGTGGTGTCACAGTTGCCCCTTCAGATGTGTTTCAGAAGCCCGGAAGCCCGACGGGAGCCCAAGAGGAGCCCCAAGAGGGTCCCAAGTGAGATCCGAGCAAAGGAACGAAAAGCCCTCAGGAGAGTCCCAAACAGTCACGAGGGGCACCAAGATGACACCAAAAGAGCCTGGACGATAGCCCGAGTGAGCCTCAAGAAGGCCACGGGGCCCAAAAGGGGCCGCAATAGACAACCAAAATGATCAGGATGATGCCGCAAGACGGCCCCAAGCTTGCTTCCGAGTGCTCGGGCACTCTCGCGTCTAGGCCATGTCCCAACCGAGCTAGCACGCGGCCCACCAGGCGCCCTGATTGGGAGGTATGCGCTCTCATGTCTAAGTCTGTGCTCGAGGAGCACGCCCTTCCTGCCACTGACCTGATTAATCTCTGCTCGTGACGCTCCTCCGCCTCAACCTTTCCCCAAAATGCCTCCTCATCCACATAATATGGGTCGCTGTCCTCTTTTTCATCGTCACCCAAAGCAGGACAACCGCACGAATCGGCTTTCTGGGTACAGACGGAGGGGCGCAAGCCCGCATTCCTTGTGTTGACCCTGGCCCGCTCGCGCTCGACACCGTGGCCGTCGTGCCTGCCCTCCTCATTGAAGGTCTGGCCCAGAGCGCATCATGGTAATCAGCCAGCTGGGGTTCGGAGTGTGGGCGGCCGTCTGCTCGCCATCCGACAGCAAATCCTTCGTCATGGGATGGGCTTGGCGATGGGCGAATTGTTGCGTTGGCTGAGTCTGCTCCGCTTCGAGGCGGCTGTACGGCCGCGCCGTCCGCGAGACCGCAATCGCGCCTTGGCCTCCGCCACGCCTATCTTGCCCTCGGACCCCGTGACTTCCTGACCATCGACAGCACGACGGCGACGGCGACGCCAGCATCAGCTTCATGAGTTGTTTTTAATGGGCTGGCGCGCAATTCGTGCTCTGTAGACTAAATACTGCACACTATAGCAGGCGAACCTCTTCCACGTCGGGGCTGTCCACATCCAGCCCACCGGTCTCAAACCCTCTGGGAATTGGTGGGCAACAACTGGAGCCGTGTTCGTTACACGGGACAACCGAGCCAGCTCACCTGCCGAATAACTTACGCCAAAATGGCGACGCGACTGAGATAGGGAGAAGAGCAACAGGAAGAGGAGGAGCAGCAGATGGTGGAGATGCAAGCTCCCCGCTCCCTGGCCCATTCCCGTCCTCACGCTCAACGGTGTTCCAACCTCCTGCCGCACTGTCCAGCAGCACCTGCCCACTCTCTGTCTTATCCCCTTGATCCCATCGGTGGTGGCAGCCTACGTGCTGATCCATGTACTGTTTACAAGTATGATCACGCCCTCGTTCAGCTCCCTGCTCCTCCAAATCATCATTCGCCTAGCCTTGGCCGTACCTTCGTCTGCACTACGGTGCATGACCAACGTCAATCGCAATAGGCATCGACATTCAACAAATGACTGCTGAGTTTGCATGCAACCATATCCATCCATAGAACCAATCCAATGTATCACAACGATGAATTACGCACACAGAGAAACGGAGAGACAGCAAAGACGAGAAGACACATGCATATGTACCTATCCATATAGACATACATACATACATACATACATACATACATACATACATGCATGCATGCATGCATGCATGCATGCATGCATGCAGACATACATACATACATACATACATACATACATGCATGCATGCATGCATGCATGCATTTGTTTGAGAAGCAGGAGATGGGAGCGGACAGCAATACTATACACGATTCAGGTTCGTCGCAAGGCTGTCCTGCGAACGTGGCCGAAACTCCAGCCAGAGACTCGGAAACATCGTGGGGGTGTTTTCGGGGCCCTCGTGGGCCGTTTTGGCGCCTTCATGGGCCGTCCTGGGGCCTTCTTGGGCCGTCTTGGGGAGCTTGGGCCCGCTGGAGCCCCCTTTGGACCCATCTTGGGCACTTCCGGGGACCTCCCATGGCCCTTTTGGGTCTGTGCTGGGAGCCCTTGGGGGGCCTCTTGGTTCCATTATGGGCTGTCTTGGGGCTCTCGTGGGCGATCGTGGGGCCCGGCTCGGCCGTCTTGAAGCTTTCTTGGGAGCCTTTTGGGGCGTCTGGAAGCGATCTCGGGGGCTTTGAAACCGTCTTGAAAGCTGTTGAAATCCGGAAGGCGAATATGCTAAAATTGTAAGTTTTACGAAGAGAATGGGACGATGTTTGTAGTTTGAAGGCCCCTTGGAAAGATTTTTGGGGTGCCTTGGGGGTCTTTCGGGCCGTCCTGACGCAATTGGAGTCCCTCTTGGAGCGCTCTTGTGCTGTCTGGGGCTTCCCTTGAGCCTTTCTGATGACCCATCGGATCGCTCTGGGTCTGCTGGCAAGGCGTTAGTGGAGACCCGGAAAGCCGGGTGACCTTTTTCAAGGACGTCCAAGGGAGCCAGAGAACACCAGATCCGGGGGTCCAGTTTGGGGGGGGGATGAGGGTTTCCCCCCCCCCACGGGCTTGTAAAAATATAGGAAGAAGAATATATATATATATAGAGAGAGAGAGAGAGACAAATATATATATATATATATAAAAAAAATGCGACCCTACCTAGAAGTTGGAGCCTCTAGGAAAGCAGCATAAGCTAAGCTAAGCTAAGCTAAACTAAGCTAAGCTAGGCTAAGCTAAGCTAAGCTAAGCTAAGCTAAGCTACGCTAAGCTAAGCTAAGCTAAGCTAAGATGAGATAAGCTAAGCTACGCTAAGCTAAGTTGAGTTAGTCTAAGTTAAGCTGCGCTAAGCTAGGCCAGGCTAAGCTAAGCTAAGATGAGATAAGCTCAGCTAAGCTAAGCTAAGCTAAGCTAAGCTAAGCTAGGCTAGGCTAGGCTAGGCTAAGCTAAGCTAAGCTAAAATGAGATCAGCAAAGCTAAGCGAAGCTAAGCTAGCTAAGCTAAGCTAAGTTTAGCTTAGCTAAGCTAAGCTAAGCTAAGCTCACCCAGGGGGCGCGGGGGGATCCTGGGGAAGCCGCCCGGGGCGAGCCCCACTGC